ACACACACACACACACACACACACACACACACACACACACACACACAACCTTTAAAAACAAAAAACCGGAACTGGAGAGATGGCTCAGTGATCAAGAGCATTGCTTGCTCTTCTGTGTTCAATTCCCAGCAACCGCATGGTGGCTCACAACCATCTGTAATGAGATCTGGTGCCCTCTTCTGGCCTGCAGGCCTACATGCAGACAGAATACTGAGAATACCATATACATAATTAATAAATAAATAAGCAAGCCAGTCAGCCACTGGGGCGGTGGTGGCATACAGACCTCTATGAGTACCAGGCCAGCCTGATCTACAGAGTGAGTTCCAGGACAGGCTCCAAAGCTACAGAAAAACCCTGTCTCCAAGAGTATTGAAAGAATATCTGGGGGCTGGAGAGATGGCTCAGTGGTTAAGAGCATTGCCTGCTCTTCCAAAGGTCCTGAGTTCAATTCCCAGTCAACCACATGGTGGCTCACAACCATCTGTAATAGGGTCTGGTGCCCTCTTCTGGCCTGAGGGCATACACACAGAAAGAATATTGTATACATAATAAATAAATAAATATTTAAAAAAAAATCTGCCATTTGAAGACGTTAGGAAGGACAATCTACAGCCGGAGAGACAGCTCAGGGGGCAAAGCGCCAGACTGCTCTGCCCGAGGACCCAAGTTCGGTTCCCGGCCCAGCACCGCATGTAGTTCTGTGACCGTCAGTCAGCGCCACCTGGCCGCCTGCAGAACGACCCACACACAACCTCCCACCGTCCACCATAGATCCGGGTAGAGTAGTAGGCAAAAAAAAAATATATATATATATAGATATATATATACACCAGGCTGAAAACAGCTAAGCACACAGCACACTCCATCCACCTGGAATACATCACGGAAGGATATGTGAAGCAAACCATGTGTCTGGCTCCAATGGTCCCTAAACACTGGACACATGTGCACCGGCACCACCTCCAGCTTCGCACTGCTGCTGCCAAAGAGCCAGTACGACTCCAATCCTCAAGAATTCAGTTCCTCTCCAATCCAGCCAAAGTCAGCAGGCAGACACAGTGAAAGAAGAGACAGGCCATGGTGCCCAGGGACTGACCTGTGAAATGAAAGCCACTTGACGTTGTCACAGAGAACCACTCCTGACGTCATCAGCAGCTCTGCGAAGTGCAGTGTGTCAATCCCTTCCTCCTCGTGCTTCTGGAACTGCAGCCCTGAGTTTGCAAGGAGGTCTATGGAATCCTGGGAGTACATATCCTCTCTGAAAAACAAGGTGTCAGTGTGAGCTGGTCGGTAATGAGACAGAAGTAGGGCAAATATCACCACCAGATTATAATTTGGAAACACAGCATCCCCGAAGCACTCCACAAACCAACATACATATTTCCTACAGAGGATTTACATCCTCTCTTTGAATTTTTTTTTTTTTTTAATGAATGAATGAGAGTTGTAAGTCACCATGTGAGTGTTAGGTATCAAGTTCAGGTCTTCTGGAGGGTAGCCAGTGCCTTAACCATTGAGCTACCCTTCCAGCTCATTTTTTTGTCTTTGTTTTCAATCTTTTTTTTAAAGTTTTTATTTATTATGTATATAATATTCTGTCTGTGTATATGTCTGCAGGCCAGAAGAGGGCACCAGACCTCATTACAGATGGTTGTGAGCCACCATGTGGTTGCTGGGAATTGAACTCAGGACCTTTGGAAGAGCAGGCAATGCTCTTAATCACTGAGCCATCTCTCCAGCCCTGTTTTCAATCTTTTTAAAAGATTTATTTATTTTACATATATGGGTAGGTTTTTTTGGTTTTTTTGGTTTGGTTTGTTTTTTTGAGATAGGGTTTCTCTGTGTAGTAGTCCTGGTTGTCCTGGAACTAGTTCTTGTAGAGCAGGCTGGCCTCGAACTCGAGTGCTGGGATTAAAGGCATGTGCCACCATCACCTGGCCGTATATGGGTGTTTTAACTACATGTATGTTCGCATACCAGAAGAGGGCATTCAAACCCCCATTATAGACAGTTGCCATGTGGGGCAAAGGCCAAGCTTTCATAATAAGGACCAAAATCAGTCTAACAAGAAAGACTGGCTATAATCTATTCAGATCTTTTGCCAGCTTTTTTTTGTTTTAAGGTAGGGAATTTGAGACAAGTTCCATCTATGTAGCCCTGGTTGTCCTGGAACTGATTATATAGACCAGGCTGCTGGCCTTGAACCCACAGAGACCTGCCTGCCTCTGCCTCCTGAGTGCTGGGATTAAAGGTGTGCACCACAACAGCCTACCTTTTGCCAATTTCTAACTGGGTTGTCTCTCTCCTGTGGTACTGAGGAATAAACCCCTGGGCCTCAAATACACTATTTGAGTACTATTCCACTGAGCTACACAACAGCCTGGAATTTTTTTTTTTAGGCTAAATTGCACCAAGGAAAACCAAGCTTTCCAGACATTGTGGTTTAGTCCCAGCACCCTCGGGACAGAGGCAGACAGATTTCTGCAGGTTTGAGCCCAACCTAGTCTACAGATCCAAGGCTACATAGAGATCCTGTCTTTAAAAAAAAAAAAAAAAAAAAGGAAAAAGCCTTTTCTTAACTGTTCTAACACCTATGTATATTGAATGAAATAAAAATATAATTAATGTGTGGTAACACACACCTTTAATCCCAGCATTCTGGAGACAGAGACTGGTGGATTTCTGAGTTCAAGATCAGCCTGGTCTACATAGCAAGTTCCAGGACAGCCAGAGATACATAAAAGACCCTCTCCCCCCACCCCAAAAAAAAAGGAAAATAAAGCTTTGATAAGTAAAACCTATGGCAATCAATTCAGTCCACTCAAATACAGCCATCTAAGAATAAGACCAAGGGGTCTCTTAGACACTTACGTCAAGTTGAACTTGAAGTTGAACTGCCATGTGTTGATTCCAGAAGGGTACTCCCCTTTCTCATTTGTGAATGTAAGGCCCAGCTGAATGATTTTTAGAAGGTCAACATTACACCGCAAAAGCTGATACTGGTAATCTATGGAGCTTCGAAATTCACCAATCGGTCGTACCACAACACCTGGAAACTCTGTGTCCTAGGAACAAAAGCCTCTCACCAGTGAGTCTCACCAAAGTGGTTGCTGGACTAGCAACTCATGAGCAAAATTGCTCTTCATTTTATAAAAGCCCCAAGATAAGCCCCCAAGGTCTGGAATACAACAGGACCTGGGACAGGTGACTTGGAAACTGAAGGGAAATGGGAAGTCAGGTTGGACCTTTTTTTAAAAAAAAAAAAAAAAAATTTTATTTCATGTGCATTGGTGTTTTGCCTGTATATATGTCTATGTGAGGATGCTGGATTCCCTGGACTTGGAGTTTCAGACAGTTGTGAGCTGTCACGTAGGTGCAAGGAATTAAATGAGTCCTCTGGAAGAGCAACAAGCACTCTCAACTGTTGAGCCATCCCTTCAAAGGAGTTTATCTACCTGTCTGTCTGTCTGTCTGTCTGTCTGTTTGTCTATCTATCTATCCATCTATCTACTTACCTATCTGTCTGTCTATCTACTTATCTATCTGTCTATCTATCGATCTATCATCTATCTATCTATCTATCTACCTATTTATCTATCTATGTGCATTGCTGTTTTGCACTAGGTTTTGGGTCCCTGGAATTGGAGTTACAGTTGTGAGCTGCCATATGGGTGCTAAGAATTGAACCTGGGTCCTCTGGAAGAACATTCAGTGCTCTTAACCACTGAGCCATCTCTCCAGCTAAGAGTATCTAATATGAGTTAAATACAAATACAGCCAAGTTGGATATGATGGCTCACAGGTCCTTTGCTCCTTCACATTAGCTTCTTTGTGTGACTTGGGAGAGAGCAGCATGGCTGCTGGCCTGCTATTCAGAGCTCTCATCAAGGACAAATGCAGCCTTTCTTTTTCTTGAGTGACTATCTCATTGCCATGTATATAAAACTTTTCCCTTATAAAGCCCAGACTGACCTAAACTTGCTGGCTGTGAACCCCTGATCTCCATCCCAAGTGTTGGCATTACAGGATCTTAATCTGTTGGGAGAGCTGGTAAGGCTAGCGCTTCTCACAGAGTAGTGAAAGCAGGGTTTGTAGTCAGACAGTGGCAAGCAGCAAGCCTGGACTGGAACAGAGCCCCTGCTTGCTCAGGGGCTGGTTCAAGACAAGCCTTGCCTTACAGAGGTCAGGCATCAAAGTAAGCAACAGAGTACACACACCTCTTTCCACTTTACCCGGAAATGCCAGATCTGGAATTTGCTATCTCCTGACTTTTGAGTGCAAACAAGAAAATATCTAAATATTTTGAAAACAGAAGCCAGGCATGTTAGCACACGCCGGTAATCCCAGCACTTGGGAGATAGAGGCAGAAGGATCAGGAAGTCAAGTCATCTTCCTGATATATAGCAAGTTCAAGAGGAGCCTGTGTTACATGAAACCATGTCTCCAAATTCAATTAATAAATACCACACGGCCAAATCACATGTGTGAAGAGATACACCTAAGAGGCTGAGGTAGGTCAGATGCTAGAGCACTTGTCCAGCATCACACATACAGTGGGCACAATGGCACAGACCTATAACCTCAGCTAAGAAGGCAGAAGCAGGAAGATCAGCACAGGTTCATTTCAAGGCCTGCCTGGGCTACCTAGGGAGCGCGGGGCTGGTCAGAGCTACCTATCCAGATCCTAAAATAAACAAAAATAAAAATATAAAAAGACTTTCAAACAGGAACGTTACAAAAACTTTATCAGACAATGTGGCCTCCTCAGAGACACTGGCTACCTTGAATGACAGAAGAAATGTGTATTTCCATCAGTCTAACCTTTGGGGGTAAGAACCTACTCACCATGGCGATATAGCTGTAGCTGAGAACAATCTCTCGGATCTTCCGCATCTCTTCCTCTAGATTGCTGGCCCACACCTCACAGATGACCTGGCTGTTTTCCACAAGTGCCGCAGGCATCCTGAAGGCACCTCAGGAGCCACTGTGCATTAACTACGCAAGTGAATACGCCTCCTCCCGCTGGATTCGCTGGATTTGATCGTCCACACTGGGTCCAATCTAGACTTAAAGATTTTGAAATCATGTAAGTTTATATATGGACTAAGTTGTCAATAAAACAAACATCAAAATTGTATTTTAGACAGATACAGACATATGATACTAATGCTCAGGAGGCCAAGGCAGAAGGATGGGGAGTTTAAGACCAGTGTGACCTACCTACTGAGTCCATTCAAGGTCAGCCAGGGCTACCTAGCAAGACCCTGTGTCAACAAACACAAGGGGCTGTGGCAGCCCACACCTTTAATTGCAGAATTTGGGAGAGAGAGGCAGAGTTCGAGGCCAGCCTGGACTCCAGAAGGGTTCCAGGACAGCCAAGGCTGTTACACAAAGCCTATCTGGAAAACATGCCCCACCCACCAGAAAAAGACAAAAAACAAACACACAAACCTGAGTTTTGCCCTAACTTCATTAACACAATCAGTACATTCAGCCTCCACTAAGGTTGTTCTCTCTCAATACAAAGAAAAGCCCTACTTGTTAACCTGAACCCATAACAATGACATTAAAAATGTCATGCAGGGTTATGTTGGCACACATCTTTAATCCCAGCACTTAGGTGGCAGAAGCAGGTGGTTCTATGTGAATTCAAGGCCAGCCTGGTCTACAAAGTGAGCTCCAGGACAGCCAGAGTTGTTACACAGAAAAACCCTGTCTCAGGGGAAAAAACAAATGGGGGGGGGTTTACTAGGGTCTACACTATTTAGATATATTTTGTATGTACATGCATGTCTGCACCATGTGTGCGTGCAGCACACAAAGACCAGAAAGGGCATCAAATCCCTCAGAATTGTACTTAGAGATGGTTGTGAGGCACCATATATGGGTGCTAGGAACCAAACCTGGATCTTCCGCAAGACCAGCAAATGCTCTTGGCTGCCTAGCCATCTCCGCAGCCCTGTGAGGGCTACTTTTTAAGACATAAAGAAGCTAAGCACAAACTCCACTATAAGAACAGAGAGGTGGGACTGGAGAAATGGCTCAGCAGTTGAGCACTAGTTACTGCCGAGGATCCAGGTTCAGTTCCTAGGACCCAAATGGTAGTCTACATCCATCTATAATTCCAGTTCCAGGGAGTCTGATGCCCTCTTCTGGCCTCCAGAGGCACCAAAGAGACACATGGTAAACAGACATTCTGCAGGCAAAATTCATTCACATAAAGTAAAATAAAAAAGAAAGAAAGAAAGAAAGAAAGAAAGAAAGAAAGAAAGAAAGAAA